GGGGGGGGGGGAGGGTCCCGCTTGTCCTTCCTGGGAAAACAAAGCAGGCACCAGGGATGCGAGGTCTGAGCCCAGCACCTAGAAATCCTGACAGCTGCCTGCATCTTCCGAAGGGCTACAGTTAATTGCAAATGGGGGTTCAATGAGCACACAAAACACTGCAAGCTGAGCGTGTTGCCACTCTGCCTCCCAGCATCTCCTCTGGCAGCAGGTCAGCTGCTCTGCCGTGCTAAATGATGCCCCCTCCCCCTGCTGGAGGTGCAGAAGAATTTGAAATATTTTCCCCTAGCCTGGGAAAAGTCTGCACGCAACAGCAAGTGGGTGTCCTTGATGGTGATCAGCTGCGTGCCAAACCCAGGAATACCCCCCCCGCCCCCAAATAAACGTTTGGACGCATCAGGATCAAGCAAGCGCATTCTGTTGTTCAAGTGCTCCTGCCGCCCTGCTCAGAGCACCAGAGTCCTGAAGGGGCGAGTCTGCACGGTTGCCAGTCCCCAAATCATGAAGGGTCCCACAGAGCCGGGGCTCTCTCTTTGTGCAGAGCAACCGTACTGGGGAGGGGTGTTAATTGGCCGTTTTCCTCCCCACCCTAAGAGCCCGCCCGGCAACCCAGAAAAGGGGGGGTGCGTCCCACCCCGGCTGTGCTGGGGGCGGGAGGCAGAGTTGTGGGTGAAGCCACCCGAGAGCCCTCCAGACCACGGCTCCCGTCCCCCGCAGACCCCTTACTTGGCAGGGGTGCCTGCAGAGGGCACACCAGAGCAATCGACTTCCTTCCTGGCTATACAGTTCTGCATTTTTAATGGCAGGCAGGAATGGCCCAGGGAGGCCCCTCGGCTAGAACTAGAACGTAAGGCTGCGTTTCCCTCTTCTTTCTCATGCTGAACTGCCAAGGAGCAAGTGGGGCTGGGGGCACCAGGACTGGGGAACGGCCATGCGTGTTGCGGGAGAGGAATGGCCGCCCACCCCAAGCACCCGAACCGCAACACCGTTTGCTTAACAGCGCTGAAGGCTGAAACACAGAGGCTCTTCCCCCGCTCACGAATCCCAATCAGTCCGCGGGAATGGCGCTTTCCAAGAAGGGGGGCGATGCGAGAGGCAACCCGCCAAAGAAGGGGTGATGAAGAGAGCCATCCCGCGCCCTCCGCAGTCCTGGCGCTACGGAAGGCCCCTTCGGTGCAGCCGAGCTCACTGCTCTGACTGCAACATCTATCACAAGACAAACCGAACAGTCAGAAAGGAGGCCGGGACAGCAATTAATAACTCACCAGCAGAATTTCTCACGCCATTAAAAACCAAACGAACATCAGGTCAAGTTTTAAAGAGTGCAATCGTACTGTTTAAGGAATTCCAAGAGTGAGCTAATTCACAGAACCTGGATGCAAACACCAAACAGGCCGGAAACAGGACAGGAGCAGCCTCTTCAGACGCTTTTTGCAACAGAGGCAACCATTTCCTTTAAATTGGCTTTTGCAATCACAACTAATAACGTCAAGGACAAATGCTAAATGATTTTGTATCTGCAAAAAATGGTGTTCACGCACAAACCACTGAATGTAGCAATGCCCAGGGTCAGATCATTTTAAAACGTAAAAAGACGAATCTGCCAAACAGTCATACAAGAAACATTTGTTGGAAAAGAAGGAACGTATCCTTCAAATGCGGCCTTCAAAAACGTACTGTTTGACACATTCTTTTGGAAAATTAAGAAACGACTGAGAGGGGAGAAAAGAAACATTCAGCTGCCTTGAGAAGTCAGTTGGGTTAGTTTACAAATTAAAACAATATGGTTAATAAGTAAAAACAACCCAAAATGTTCTGAAAATTTGTTACTTTTTTTTTTTTTACATTCCACTCTATCAAGGCATTGCCGTCTGTCTCATAAGGTTTTCCGTTGCTGATGGAAATCCTCGCACCAGTTCCCCCCAGCCGTCCAGCGGCGCATCACGTCCCCCCAGCGTGGAGCCAAAGGAACTCTTGGAGCTGCATCGTTGGCCATTCCGTAAGTGCCAGGGCCGGAAAGGATTTCAACATTAGCGCCAGTTCAAGGGTGGAGGCGGCCAGGAAGGAGGCTGTAACATGCGTGCGCACACGCACACAAACGCCCCTGTGTGCAAATAACTAAACATTTTACGTGTTTCTGGGGCACCACGGCTTATACGCCCTGCCCGCAGCGGACTTCCCTGCGTGCCTCTGGTCTCGGAACAGAACTCTCCCAGCCGCCTCCTCACGTGATTCGGCCCGCTGGATCCTCCTGCCCTCGTCTTCCCACCTCCTACGCTACAGGGTCCTCGAGGTTCTGGCGCTTTCTCCCGGGGAAGGCCCTCGGGACCCCTGGCCGCTGGGCTTCCAGCTCCAGCAGCAGCTTCCTTTTCACAGGCAGGTTTGAATAAAAGCATTTCAGCGCTGGCCGCCTTCTTTTCAATCCCCGTTTTGTATTCCGGAGCATGGCACGCAGCCACTCCTTCTCTTTGAGCACATCCAACGACAGGGGAGCCCGAGCATCAAACTGCTGTGAGAAAAGGGTTTCTGGCCTTCCCGCAGCTCCAGTCCTTGCCTTGTGCCCTGAACCCTGAGCCTACGCCGAGCTGGCTGCGACCTCCTTCCAGGCCCGAGAAGGCCCTTTCCCTGCAACCGCGTTCTCCACCCCTCCCCGGCACAGCACAAAAGGGCAGGGGCCTGAAGAGCGCTGCCCCATGGCTGGTCCCTCCCTGCCTCTCCTGGACAGCTGCGGCTGAGGGTGCAAGGGCACGGGTTCCCTTGCCGGACTTCCCTGTCCTCTGCTTTCTCAGGTCACCAGTACCCGTCTGGGTGTCTCCAAAGTTAAAATGATACAAAACGAAGGCAGGGAAGTCTCCAGGGCAGGACCTGCCTGCCTGGGGCCACTAGCTGGTCCTTGCAGAGAAGAGGAGCTTGCACGGAGCAGTGGCCAGGCACCCACTTCCTACCCGAGCAAAGGAGGCCGGTAAAGAAGCACAACCACGCCTGAGTCTGTCTTCTTCCCCAATAACCCTAAGGAGGTTCGTCCTCTGACCGGGAGCCTGGACAGAAGCAGGTTTTACAGCGGGGGGAAGCAAAGATATGCAAGGCGTCGGGAAACAAGGAGCAATGCGAGGGGGGGCAAATGCTGGTAGAGAAATGGCCGCAGCAGAGCCTAGCGAGCGGCCAGAGGGGAAGGGGCATTCCTGCGGCTCCCCAAGCCTCCCTCTGGTCATGCCCACAGCTGGTCGCCTCCCTCCACATAGACGATGAACGGCAAAGGGTAACATGTTTTACAGACCTTGAGGCTGCTGTTGGTTTAAGTCAGAATAAGAGGGAAAATGCTCCTCGTCCAGCTTTATGGCCAACGGCAACCTACGCTTGTCTCACTAGGAAACATAGCAATTGTGTCCGAGGCATCGGGAGGGAAAAGTGTGTTCTCAAGGCACAATTGTGGCACAGCCAAGTCTGAGCAGGGGCAGAGCCAAGGAACGGAGTCCCTGGTCCCCTCTCCTCCCCAGTCATCTCTTCTCAAGGCTTGGCCTGCCCAGCTCCCCAATCTTTTGAAAGGCCTGAGTTCCTTGCCCTTTGACCCACGTCCCAGCCCTCCTCTGACTCAGTTCCAGTTCATTTCTGGCAGCAGAGGAACCACACAAAACGTGGTGGGCGATTGGACCAACCTACCTGCACGCACCCTCCTCCCCCGCAGAGCACTCACCATCCTTCCGGTAGAAGCAGATCTCCACCTTGCGCTCCTCGGAGCCCAGGAGGGCCTGTGCGATCTGCGCTGTGGAGCTCGCCTGGGTGCGTGGCCCATACAGGAAGTCACAGGTGCACGGTTTCTGCATGACCTCAGCCCGGGTGTAGCCACAGAGATCACAGAAGCCATCGTTGCAGTAGATGATGGCGCAGTTCTCCACGCGGGCGTTGGCGATGATGAACTTGCGGCCTTCGGAGGAAAGAGGGGCAGTGAGCCAGAAGGACCCCGCCGGCCTGGCCAGCTTCGCCTGGCATCCCCCTCCCTCCAGCCCGGCTCCTGCCCATGTCTGGGAGGCATGGCCCAGCCTGGGTCTACTAAGTGCATAAGGGAAGTGAGGTGGATGGATGGACGAGTAGCCCATTTTCTCCAGGGCCCACACAGGATGCACCCGCACCCACACGAAGACTCTCTGCCAGAAGACCTTCCTGTGGACTGAAGGCCAAGTAGTGGGACCAGAAGCCGCTCTCACAGAGGCAACCCCAGACTGGCGGAAGAGCGAGCGCAGCACCCCCTGCTCTCTCTGCTTTGGCCTGACCAGGGGCCTCTATGAAGCCCCAGAGCTCCTGGTGGGGCCTGCCCCTCCCTCCACCTCCAAGCCCTGTGGAGACTGGCGCCCTGCAGCTGCCTATTCCTGGGGCAGGAGGGGCGCACCCAGCTGCTCCCACCCACAAACCAGCAGAAAGGAAGCGCTCAAAGGGAGCTGAGCAGCTAGGGCCTCCCAGGACCGCCAAGGTATCTTTGCTCTGCAAGAGGGTGGCTTAGCTATGTGAGAGCAGGGGTACCAGGGAGCCCAGCATGCCAGTCCTTCTGGGGAGGGCTGCCTCCCACCTGCCCTGCAACGCCCAGAGAGGTCTGGGCACAGGCTCACCAGCAGCCCTGGACCAGCACCCTGGCACAGCAGCAGGGTGACAGAAACGTTACGCCAGGCCTTGGGCTCCTGGCTGGAAAGGTTTTCCATCTGAGGACTCAGAGGACGTGGGCAAAGCCGAGCCTGCTTCTCCGCAGGCACAAAATGGAGAACCAGGCACCAGAGCTGACTTGGACTCGTCGCAGAAATATATCACCCACTGACAGTTCCGGTGGAAGGCAGGCAGGAAGCCATCGGTGGGGTCAGCATCTTCATGACAAATCCAGACACCTCTGGCAGACGCCGTGTGAGGCCCGCAAGCAGTCCCTGCCTGACCACAGAATGGGGCCTTTGCAGAGGTCACCCGCTGAGCAGGAGCACCCAGCATCCTCGCTGACAGGGCTGCTTCTGTTGGGATCAGCAGGAGTGGAAGGGGGGCAGTCTGAGGCTAAAGGTGGGGCCCTGGCCTTGGATTCTAATCCTGCCACCAGGCATCCTCTGGCAGGTCCCTCTCTGCCTCAGCTTTCCACTGGGAAGATGGGCACAAAGGGCTCTACACCATCCCCACCTGGAGCCCTCCTTGGGGCATGTGGCTTTAATCCAAGGGGCTGAGGCTAGGTCTGCACTGAGCAACAGACTGGGCCTCCAAAAGCCTCCTGGAGGGCAGGGGGAACCCGTCCTGTGCTGCCCTCTCAGC